AAAGTCTGAGCGTGCAAATTTTGTGACAACAGCTACTGAGCTTGTCGGGGCTCGGCTTTTTAAGTGAATAAACGTATGCAGAACTTTCTTAAGTTCTGCGCCATTGTTTAAACATTAATATGCGTGACTTTAGAAGTTCTGCGGCAATACGCGTCGGCTCGTGTTTACATTCGGATTTTCGACTTACCATTGGTCAATCAAAATCAATAATAATAAGTTTTCAGAACACAATAAATTGACACAACACGCCTACACCGTCACCCTCTTTCTATTTCTTTGGACACCATTATTGTACTTCTACTCCGGATAATTTATATAAACCATCACAAATAATGTCTCAATATCAAGAAGAAGAAGAGCTATGTGATGAAGAGCTTATCGGACCCGCACCAGTACAGACTTTAGAGGTACGTTCTGGAGGTATCGGGACGTTTACTGAACGTGACCTGACTAGTAGAGATTTTTAGAAATGCGGAATAAATGCATCTGACATCAAGAAGCTGTCAGAGGCTGGATATTACACTGTTGAGGCTGTCGCATACACCCCCAAGAAGTCGTTGTTATCTATCAAGGGTATTTCTGAAGCAAAGGCTGATAAGATACTAACTGAGGGTAATGTTACGTGAAAGGGAACCATTTAACATGTGTTATATACAATCTATTTTATTTATCGCATGATTAACGTCTTGTCTTATATAGCCACCAAATTAGTACCGATGGGTTTTACAACAGCCACAAGATTTCATGATTTAATGAGCGAACGTATTCATCTGACGACAGGAGCAAAAGAACTCGACAAACTTCTCGATGGTAAATATTCGACTCGATGTTGGTCAGTCGCGTGAACAAGTATTCTTCCATTCACATATTCGTTTAATCAAAGGCGGAATAGAGACTGGTTCTATAACGGAACTGTTCGGAGAATTTCGTACTGGGAAAAGTCAACTATGTCACACGCTTGCCGTAACATGCCAGGTAGACGGAATTTTGCTCACGTGATCATACTTAGTGGGTATTTACGCGATTTTTTTTTGTTCCGACAGCTTCCAGTTTCAATGGGTGGTGGTGAAGGGAAATGTATATATATAGACACCGAAGGTACCTTTCGACCTGTACGATTGTTGGCAGTTGCGGAGAGATTTGGATTGAATGGAGAAGGAGTGATGGATAATATCGCATATGCGAGGGCTCACAATACCGATCATCAGATGCAATTACTTGTTCAAGCTGCGGCTATGATGGCTCAATCGAGGTAAACGACATAGAGAAGTGATTATTTTTTTCAGATTGCAATTACATTTGCCATTATTTGAACCTTGTCTCTTTCATTTTTGCAAGATTTGCGCTATTGATCGTCGACAGCGCGACGGCACTCTACAGAACAGATTATTCTGGTCGGGGTGAATTGTCTGCTAGACAAATGCATTTGGCAAGATTTCTTCGTACTCTTACTCGACTGGCGGATGAATTTGGCGTGGCGGTGGTGGTAACGAATCAAGTAGTCGCTCAAGTTGATGGGTCTGCTATGTTTAATCCGGATCCTAAAAAGCCTATCGGTGGTAATATTATTGCTCATGCATCAACAACAAGGTAAAATACTATTATACAAGTTTTCCTCAAAACGATGGTAGTTGAATTTTATTTTCGTGAGGAAATATTTACGCAATCGGTTAATATTCGTTAATTTGCAGACTCTATCTTCGTAAAGGCCGAGGAGAGCAAAGAATCTGCAAAATATATGATTCGCCATGTTTACCCGAGGCTGAAGCTGTGTTTGCCATAAACGCTGATGGTATTGGTGACCCGAAGGAATAGGTCCACTAGATGAGGTACAGGTGTAAGGTGGTGCCTTTGGAAGAACAATGACATTATGATATATAGATGCCTCGCATTAAGGCTGTACAATCAATAAAGACACTTTTATAGTATTGTAGTGTTCAAGTCTCGAATTCCACCTTTTATTATACCCCATACCAGAACGATAAGATAGCTCGAATGTGATTATTTGTTGTATTATTGGTTTTGCACGCAACGTAGTATGAGAATCAGGAATAAAGATCTTGTACTTGTTATAGTAGAAATTGCAATTTTTTGGTATCCAATATTTTATTATTTATTCGACCAGAGTGCCATGTGGATGCTCTATGGTATTAGTTACATGTACGCACAAGATAAATATCCGTGCAAATAAAGAAATATAACAAAAACTATACAAATTTATGTATCGAATCACTAACGTTAATTACATATGATGAAGATTAACCTAAAACAAGCCAAATCATATAATCTACTGTCAAATCTACCATTTAATCGTTAAACATGTTCTTAATTGCTAATCTTCGCTGTTACTCTGCGACTCGTACTTGATTTCACACGTTTTTGCGCACATGTTTCATGCTCACATTCCTCCTCAGTTTCGCTTTCAGCTTTATGCCTATCCCTATTATGATTTTCGACTTCCTTCATTTTCCCTCTTCTTCTCTTAACTCTCTCCGCGATGTCATCACTGCTACCACTATCATTATTACAACTGTCATTCTCTCTGTTCTCTTCATATCTTCTTTGCCTCATTGTCATTTCATTCTCCACAGTCACTGTATTCTCCTCAGGCCATTGGCCATTTTTCTTCAACTGAGGAATGATAACTCTCAATACCCGATCCCGCCATGAATGGAACGTATGGTGGGAATGTTCGTGCGCCAAGTCTCGATAGATAGCATTTCCGGATATGGATTCCCGTTCTTGTTGTTTCTCAATGACCCAATCACAAAGAAACTGGTCATCCTCGGCGGTGAATTTGGATCTGCTAGCTTTCCTGGTACGATCTCGTTCACGTGGAGATTCGGTCACAAGCAATGGAGCAATACGGTTAATAGCTCTGTCTCGCCACGCATGTGCAGTGTGACGTGGATGTTCAAGAGCAAGCGCTTTGTATATCACCATGCCTTTGATACTGTAATTCTCTTCGTACTTCCTCAACACATAGTTATATAGAAGTTCGTCCTCTGTCGGAGTGAAAGCTAATCTCAGACGTTTACGCTGTTTAACTGGTGGTGTCTGTATGATGCGCTCTGCGCTAACGAATGACAGTTGTATGTCGGGGCTAGGCTCAGCCTTATTGCTTTCAACGCTTGTCACACTGCCCTCGGGTGTTCTGGTGCTTCTCTCGTCCACAGACGTCGGTTCATCCCTCTCCGAATGTTCAGATCTGTTGGGAGTTCGGGCCATATTTTCACTTATGATGTCTGTGTTGACACCTATGGGTGATTGACGACAGGAACTTGGTTTGCTAACAAAAGTATTGGGCTATTGAACGCGTTTATAAAGGGCAAAGAAATCACGTTACGCGCTCACAATTCCCACAGTCCAGCTTCATGAATCGTCGCACACACAAAACAAAAGCCAAATCAGGTTTATACAAATACCAAAAACGGTCGGGCGCACAATTACGATAAGATTAATACCAGTGTCTTCAACAACTCCTATGGCAATAGTAAAAGCGACGTCAAATGTAAACAATCGTGTGAAAAAATCAATACCCAAATTTTGGCTAATCTTGCACATTTACAGTATTCACTATTACGCGTTGTTCGTTTTATGTCATGAACTCATATAATGAGTAGGTTCTCAACCCCGAAGATTAGCTTATAATTTCTCGCCAAACGTATCCAACTAGGAAGCACCAATCATCTCATTGGTTCCGGCAATAACTATAATACATAGTGAAACCTGCTGCCTCGACGACGTGATATCATGAATAACGTTTATTCAGAGGCCATGAACAATTAACAGTTAATGCTTTTCTTATCAATATCAGAGAACGTACAAATTACTTCCCCACTTCATTCTTTTTCCGGATTTATACATATCAGCCTTGCAGTGCTCTTTTCAACAATTTGAAGTAGTTCGTTCCTAGCAACTTTGCTTTTGTGTCTGTCGGATACATTGACATCATATGCATAGTTATATCTCCTTCCAGAATATTCAGCATGTTCTGGTCGTTCCAAGATTACCAACCCTTTTAGAGTGGTTCCTGAGAGTAGACATCCGTTTTGAGTAAGGAATCAAAATTTCCTGTATGCCGATGTTGGCACCGAATGAGGACGTGGGTCTCGTTTTCTGAACAAATAAATTGAGCTATAGGATATAATTAAGGGGTAAATTTTAATGATCATGTCTTGCTGTCAGATTAATACATGCTCTGCAACTCGAGTAGGAATTGCTATACAAGTTTAGTCATAACAATTTTATTGTGAATTACATTGTAATTTATTATAAATACATTAAAGAATTCCTTTACTCGACATCTAATAATCCTCGCCTCTGCTAACAACCTGATCAAAATAAAACATCCGTTAGCAAACTGTCCTCTGTAATTTCTTTTTTAGCATCTTTCAATCAAGACTTACCTCTTTACAAGTAGGGCGTAGAATTATCGTATGTTCAAATTGGGCCGTGTATGAGCCTTTGGTATCACATAATGGAGGGTATTGTTCGACAAGCCCAACATCGACTAGGTTCTTCAATGCAAAAAAGTATTTCGTTTCACCAAGACGATCGAGATATCGACGACAGAAGGGAAGCGTGCCAAAGTTCTTGTTTATAGTACCGAGTAAGGCTTTTGCTTTCGCGACGCTGAGATCGAAATGGGATAAAGAACGTTTTAATGTAAAGCGGGCAGACGAATGCGCAAGCGATAACGATTTCGAATGATTACCGTAGTGGTATATGTGGAGTATCATGCTTTTTCGCATAATGACTGCATTCGCCATCTTCGTGAACATAACCTTTACCAGTGCTACCAAATGTTTCTATAGCAAAGTATTCTCCCTCCTAAAAAATCAAAAAGAAATATATAATAAACCTATGTTCATATATAAAACGACATATTGCGCTAATATTGGAGCAATCCATTTGTTCTAATTCAACTCACTTCCATCTTCGTCTGGTCACCGCTTTTTACAATTGGGATTGATTTGCCCGCATGTATTTGATAAGGCAGTATAGAATGACCATTGAGGTTGCGAATTGGTTTGACTGTTAAAAATAATTTCATTATTAGCAAAGAAACAGACATTCACACATAAAAAGGCTTATTCATATATTCGTCCAGACCTCGATGCGTCTTTCCATTAATTTCAACCTCATAGCTCTCCATTGCTAAATGAAAGCAATTTGTAACGCGTCAAACTCATTGTAAAGTATTAGACAAATTATATGTAATTCTGATTATTGCTGTCATACCTTCTTGTATAGCAGCCCCAATTTCTCCTAACCTCGCATCAATACCAGCTTCCTAAGAAAAAATAATAATCATTGTCTTTATTGTTGATTTCCCGCGTTCACAACATACTGGTACAAGATTAATTTCACACCTTAACACCGGTATTTGTTGCATCTTTAACAGCTTCTTTCAGAGGATCGAACATTGGATTAAAGGAGAGGGTAAATGCGGAATCGACAATACGACCTAAACGTTAAAAAGATGTTAGAACAAGCTTATAATGCCTATTTCACCAAGACATCACTTTTAACGATGCAATGACATGACTGGGTTGCAATCACATATTTTATGTTAATCACCATTTACATGCACTCCAAAATCAACTTTGCAGATGTCGTCATATTGGAGAACTGTTGGATCCCCTGCATTAGGAGTGTAGTGAGCAGCACAATTATTCAGGGAAACACCAGTCGGAAATCCAATACCTGCGCGTGAGAGAAGAGGCAAGAGAAAATAAATTGTTAGATGAATGAAAACATCAATGTCTCGATATTATATTTATATTACGTGGCTCATAATTAAATGTATCCTCTGGGATAGGCCATTCAACACATAAAATACTGTGTTGAAGGTGAGTATTAAGGATAGATTCATCTCGTTCGCAGAAAAATTGTTATCACCCACAAAAAAGGGTGACCACAGAGTGTTGCAAACTGGGCAAGATACTCCCACAATCGACAGGAAGCCACGCAAAGAAAGCAGTATTACTAACCCCTTTCTAATCCTTGCTCTTCAACTAAAGCACGCGTTCCATTCTCAATCATTTCGCAAATGTCAATCATCAACATTCCCGGTTTAATCGTTTTCTGGACATGTTTTCGAACCTACGAAACATAACATATGCGCGAAAGAGGAGAAACCATTAAACGCGTCACATGGAACATTCTATTATTTTATCTCTGATATGACATATTGATACATATCGGAATAACATAGTCCTATGATAACTCACAGTTCTGTGGACTTCAGCAGCCCATCGGAGATCATTATATTCGTCAAAATGCATACGATCGAGATATCTTTTCTCTTCATTGGTAGTTCTGTTTAAATTGCTGTACATACAGACACATATATAAAATGTTAGAATAAAGATTGCGCATTAATGAACATAAATTAACAACTTTTTCTCAACGTACTCATTTTTATATTCACATATCTCTCCTTCGGGGAAAATTTTATTAGGATACAACTGAGACACTGGAGTGGATAGCGGCTCTGATTGCGTTTTCTTCTTCGCCTTCTTTTTCTTCTTTTTGCTCTTCTTTCTACTCGCTTTCCGACGTAAGAGAGTCATTTAAGTAAATAAGGTGAATAAAATTTATCATTCAAAGAACAATTTAAATAAGGAGTCGAGTTAATATACATTACGAGAAAACTTGATAGACATATCTCTCACCAATTGCACGTAAGAATCTTTATAATTAGGGTGAAAAGTTTACTCACGTCCGCCTTCCTGTACTTCCTCCTCCTCTTCTTCCTCTTCCTCCTTATCCGGTTTATTCTCAACTACTGATTTATCTGCAGACGTTGTCTGTTGGCCATTATTCTTCTCTTAAGAAGCGCAGGAGATGGTTTAGCATAAGCATTCGCGAAAGAGCACAAATTTTATCGAGCAAAATCACCTGCGTCAACGTCAGCCGTGTCACGGCTTTCAGTTGTAGCTTTTTTCTTCTTTTTCTTTTTCTTGTTCTTTGAGGTTTGATCACTAATAGTGAGATTTTCGACGGCTAATACATTTTGTTCCTCTTCAACCATCGTTTTTTTGGGGGATGAAGTAATTTCGAAAATGTTGCGCCCTTATTGAAATAGCCCCCGAAATTTTTGGTTTTGCGTGGCACGCAACCGTTTAGGCCAATTCTATAACCATGCATTATTATCAGAAGTTTAAAGCAATATTAATATAGCTAAATGGATTTAATAAACAGTACCATCTCGTTATTTATTTATTTGTGAACATGTTTTGCATCTGAACCAAACGATTTACATATTAATATGCATGCAGCAACATCCAAGTTTTTCGAAGGCTAAAGGTTAATTCTAAAGTGTAATTGCTTACCAACCGGACCTCCTGAATTCGAAAGCGTGTCGGAGATTCTGTTAGTTGTGTTCCTATGCTTTTCTCGATGGCTGACTTCAATTGGCGAAATTACGCTGACTTTATTGATATGTTATAATTATCATTTCGTGTCGAAGAGTTGGCATGACAGAGATATGCGGTATTGCGTGAACGGGAATTGATGCGAATGTTAATACGCGGGAAAAGAACAATCACACCCAAACAAAGCCTTGCGTAATGAAAAGAACAGTGTTAATAAGCATATCAGTCTGCAATCTAGGATCGAACACGCCTTTATTAAGCTTGTAATGGATAATTTTAACTGTGGCACCACAATATTCGTTTGTTTTATGTATATTGATACAACATCACATGCCCATAAAAATTATTGTTGCACACACGCTCGCTGATCAAACTCTCAGCAATGGTCCATCCGAGACCGCCGCCTTTTACTTGCACTGTACACCTAGAAGACCTTAGATCTTGTTTTGCTAATCTACCCAATTCCCTTGGGCAGGTTATCCTACGTAGAAATGCGGTATGTAAAAAGACAAATGTAGGAACACGCAAAGGAAGAAGAGAATTTACGAGTGTTAACACGAAAAGTGTGTATTTTAGTTTGAAAGAGAGTTATCCAATATTCGGCTTCTTTATTATTCTCTTTCAATACAAGATATGATGAGGCTCTAATTGTTAATCATCATTCGCCTATAGCCATTACAAAATTCTGTAATCGAACTTACCTGGACGGACAAAAAAACCGAGAGACATGCTTATGTCACTTGGTCTGGCAGTCCGAGTGGACTAAAAAGCGGGTTGAATAATGGTCGTTACGATAAAGGGGATGTTATTGAACTTGATGTCGCGTTTGCCAAAGCGAATAATATATCCCATGGACAGTTGGTAGGAAGCTAAATTCACGCTGATAATAAATGAGAATGGAACGTATTGATTCGTATTGTGCATACAGGTTACCTTAAAAGTGATGAAAGATATAAAAGAGGCCGAGTATGTAAACGTTGAACCAGCAGATGAGAATGATTATGAAATTGTGGTACGTGCTGAATAATGAAATTAGAGTTTGGGTTAGAACTCAAATGATAAATGATACTAATGATAAATTGTCTTATCTTTCATACAGGATTCTCGTCAGTCGTTTATTGAAAGTAATTTATTAAAGCAATTGTTAGTAGTATATTCTGGAGAGATTGTGCCAATAAGAGTCAATTCAAATCTCGTTCACATCAGTATTGGTCAGTTACTATAGATGTTGGGATTAAATTCTGGTGTTATCGTCTTGCAACGTATATCTAACTTGTTTACGTAACAGGTGATCTGACTCCATCCTCAAAATATGCCAAAATCTCATCTAATACGCAAGTTATCGTCAAACCGATATTACGTTCTTCATATACCTCCACGTCTTCAGCTAATGGGTCACATTTACCCAATTCGGTTCGAAATTATGGTCTTCGTATACTACCACAAGGATTTCTCTCAAATGACGACGGTCCATACACAATACATGTGTCGACAACTGACTACCCGAACTTACCGCTAATGCACAACAATTTGGCACAAATATCAAAAGTACCTCAACCACAATATAATGCAAGGCAAGATCATGAAGAAAAGAACGACGGTGAAGCCGGGACTGTAGGAATTGGGAGTCTATGTGTAGTAGTGAAAGGAAACGCAAAGGTGCCAACCGGTCATGTATACGTAACTGATGTCATCAGAGAAAATATTGATTTAGAAACATTTGGAATATTAAGGTAGGGGGGCTAACTGTATTATACGCAATGGGACGCGTAACACTCGAATTATACTTATTATTGGTCTATATTGCTAGAATTTCACAACCGAAAGCGGC